ATATGCAAAAGGAATGGTAGATAGTTCGCTATTCTATCCCTTCTTTAGGTTTCAACATCTCAAGAATCCAAATTATATTTTTAATTTTCTCTCATTTTCTCTTTCTTTCATATATTTCTTAAGACTATGAATCAATTATGAATATTATTGAATCAGAGATTCTCATTTTTAACTTGACTGTTAAAAAAAAGAAAACAAAACAAATGAAAAGGAGACCGATCCATTTTTAAAACAAAATCAAACCAGTACAGCTTAAAACGAAATCATGAATGTGTCGGTCTAAAGACGTTCAAATTCATAAAAAGATAAAAAAAGAAGGTGATCTCTAAAGATCAACACTTAAAATGTTCAAATCGATATATGAAATCCTCAACATGTAAATCAAATTTTAATGAATAAAGCTTCAAAAATGCAATTTGAACTTCATCAAATAAAGCCTCAAGGTCCTTGAATCAATCTTAGAAATATATCATTTTCTCACTTTTCATAAATGAATCAACGCGTGGTAATTTTATGAATTTCCAAACCCCTTTATGAATTCAATTTATATCAAGTTTACAATTTCTTGAAACAAAGTTTCAAGAACTTGTCATATGTCACAAAACAAGAGAGAATAATCCATAGGGAATGACTTTCCAAATTTCCAAAAGCTATGCCAATATCCATTCCATTTAACTCCATCTTTAATCAAAAGCTTTTCCCTTTTCATTCATTTTTTTTATTATTTCGTAAACATGAACTTATCCATATAAGTGTTCAAGGTAATAGGGAGAAACAACCACTAGTTCAATCCATTAAGCCCAATCTACTCCACTAAGAGATCACAAATTATAGCTTACGGGTAAAGCCAAAAGAAAGAGAGCTCACGGATAAGGTGACAGGGAGCACAACCAAGCTCCAATCAATTCAAGAGTAGGAGCCAAAAGAGAGAAGAGCTCACGAGTAGGGCAACATGTATCACAAAGACAACAAAACATCTCAAATCCAACTCACGGCCAAAGACAACCCGAGAACAATCTCAAAGGTAGTAAACACCAAACGAGACTCACGGCTAAGCAGCAAACCAAAGCCTACTAAGCCAACAAAGTCACCAAACCATTTTCTCAATAAGGCCAACCCGAACCCAGCAGAAAGGGGAAAGCCGAGCCCCATGCATAATACAAACCAACTCCAGGCAAGAGTGAAACCAAGCCCAAGGAATAATTCTAACAATAAGGGATTTCAACTAAAATACAACTTCGAAAGGAGCCCGACCAAGTTCAACGTAAGGGACAAGTCAAGCTAGCACAGGGGCAAACCAAACCCAAGAAAAGATCCTCAATTGTAAGAGATTTCAGCCAACATAAATCACCAAAACAGAGCCCAAACCGACCCTAAGAAAAGGCAAACCCGAGCAGCAAAAAGGCTAGACCAAATCTAGCAAAAGGGAGCAAAAACAAAGAAACATTCCAAGTAAATCGAACTCATCAAATGGGTCAAGACAAAGCCATAAACAATCAGATTTCATAAATCCTTAGACTTTAAAATTTCTTGCACCCCATCATATGTCTTAAGCATGAATTGATAACATGAAATAGATAAGTGTAACAAATACCTAAAGCCAAATATTTTTCAGTATTGAAATGAATTATAGTACTTCTTTAATTCGAAAATAACAAGAATAAAAGACCTCAACATTTCATTTCCAACATGTATCCGAAAAGGGGGAAACAAGGGAAGCAAGATGTGAGCCTCAAACATGATTTTCCAACTCTTAAAAGTAATTTCCAGCATGTATTCCATCAAGGGGCAGCAAGAGAAGCAAAATGTGAGCCCCAAACATAATTTTCCAACTCTTAAAAATTAATTTCCAGCATGTATTCCAACAAGGGGCAGCAAGAGAAGCAAGATGTGAGCACCAAACATAATTTTCCATCTCTTAAAAATAATTTGCAGCATGTATTCCAATAAGGGGCAGCAAGAGAAGCAAGATGTGAGCCCCAAACATAATTTTCCAACTCTTAAGAATAATTTTCAGCATGTATCAATACCTAGACTTCAAAATAAACTAAGTCATTCTTCCATTAACCTTTGCAAGAGGATTGAGATGCTTCAACATGCCATCCTAGATGAAATATAATAGAGAGAAGGAGAAGAAAACATCTTTTCAGCAGATTTAAAATAAAATTATAAGAATTATTCAAGAAAACCACTCCAAGCGAAATATTCCTCCTAAAGATCCCCAGAAACAACTACCACAAATGCTCCACGCCACAAACACTCAAAAGTTCTGGCTTAAAGAGGATTCCGACAAAGCTTCCCTTCCTAGAAGCCTCAAAAAATGGCACCCATGAATGCTTTCAAACAACAAAACAGAGAGAAATATTTTCCCCAACAGCAGAAAGAAATTCAAGCTTTCCTCTCTAAAAAACTCTCTCTTCTCTCTGAAAATTTTCAACAACCCTCAGGCCACAGAGGATGAAAAAAGCAAGGATGAAATTTTAGGAGATTTTGGCAGCACCTTCCCACTCTCAGAAATTTCGGCCAACCTTAGACCCTCCCCCAAATGGGGTTCTTTATAGCAAAAGAAGGAGAAATGAGAAGCCACCTACCAGCCTCCCTGGTAGCCGAATCAGGTAAAGGAAGAGGAGAAATGCATTTAGAGCGGAGGAAATGCGGCCTAGGGCAGAGGAAGAGTCGACCAGGTGGAACTTCGCAGTTGGAGGGCTGCTTGGTCGAGTGGAGCTCGAAGAGGCGAGCCGCATGCTCAACCGGCAATGGAATGCCACGTGTGAGGAGAAGAAGGCGAGCCATCTCATGCGCGAATGGCAGAGAAGATGTGGGAGAGGAAGATTGGGCTCGGCAAGCCATGGTGTCGCTCGATCGATCCACACCTAGAAGACGAGTCGCGGGAGTTAGGGCACGCCTGAGCAGCTCTCGGTCGAAGAAGGGAAAAGAAACACGCGAATGCCGTGGGTTAGGTGAATAGATATTAGGTTTTTTAAATATTATATAATTAAAAATATAAGTATGAAAATACTTAATTTTTAAAGTAAAAATTTGATTTGCACATTTTAATTTGTGTGTGAAATCATTGTAAATTAGATGTCATTTTTAGGTAATTCTGATGTTCTGGACAAGCTGACACGGTCTGTTTCTCCATCGGAAGTCGTTTTGACGAATTCATCGATTTGCGTGACATTTTTGCTTGTGCCGGAAACATGGCAATATGAGTGTCATTTCCTACTAAAATTGGTGTCCCAGACACGTTGACACAGTCTAATTTGTCATCGGAGGTCATCCGAAGAAGTTCACATTTTCACCTGTCCTTTAGGCTCAATTGAAGTCTGTCCTCGTGCAATTTTGTGAATTTTGTGCATTTGGTGTGTGTATGTGACAAAAAAGTCGTGACGATGTTTTCCTAAGGCTTGGAGTCCAATTAGGAACTTTTCTCTTTAGTTTTCACAAAATAGCCCATAACCGCTCGTTGATAAGACGATGGTCTTGTGCCATAAATGCTAGACGTCACAAGAAAATAGGAAGTGATTGAAATTTCTAAAAAAGGTGGGTCCCAATTCTAGTTTTCTATGATGGTCAATAAGAACTTCTAGAGCTAGATACTAAGACCCTAAGAAAAAAGAAATGACCTCAAAAATGAGGTCAACATAGACTTTGGCTTTGGTTTATGTTATTTGGAGATTATCGTTCTCATTTTTCCCTATTTGGAGTGTTGCATCCTCATCTCTTTCGGATGGTGCGGTTGTAGCCTGATTGGATCGAGATGGTGATTTCTCCCTGACATCTGACGGCCACCTTTGCTGCTCCATGTGCGGTCAAACTGCTGTTCGTCGTGTTGTTTGCTGTCCAGCAGCAGTTGCCATTCGTCTACCACCATCATTGTTTTCACTTATGTTTTTCATCCCACAACCCTTTTAACCCATCTCCTAACATTCCCTCACCTTCTAGGAATCCTTGAACGGTATCGGTCATCATATGAATGAGGGCAAATCATGTAAAGTACAGGTTTTTATGGGGCAGCCCATTCCTTCCAATGGGTTGGTACTTTGGCCTTTTATTGGACTTGTGAACTATTGTCACAACAAGAAGCAAGGCTATTCGAATTTGGTTTCTCCCTTGACCGACGTGCTTCAGAAGGATGCTACTTATTGTTGAAATGCTTGCTGCAATGACACATTTTCCAAGTTGAGAGAAATGATTGAATCCTAATTAGTGCTGTGTGTCACGGACTAACTTTCCTCAAGTCACCCGTGCGACTTTAGCGCTCTTTCTTAGCACTAAATCAGCCTTACGCCTCACAACACTGGACTTATGAGCCCCAAACACTCTTAAGAAGAATAATAGAGAGAAAGGAATAATTAACACTTGAATACTAGAATGCTTTGATTCAATGCTTGGGTAAATACAAATGAGGGGAGGAGCTCCTATTTATAGCCTCCTCCATGTCTTTGGCCTTTCATCTAGCCAATGTGGGACTATTCCAAGTCCAAGAGAAGTTTCTAGATTACAATATAATATTCTATCTCTTAGACTATTCTTATGTACATACATAACTCTAGAACATTCTAGGTTATTCTTAGATTCTCTTTAAAGCTTGTCCTTCTTGCTCTCTCCTGAATGTGGCGGAATCTTCTAGAGCCCCTTTGATGACCCTTTACATCCTGACCTTCTCTAGAATCTTCCATCTCGTGTTCGTCTTGACGACTTCTCGAATATGGTAGAGCGTGACATGTGGCTACCAAATTTTTAGTTGACGTTCAAGTTTCAGACACTCTCATAAGGCGATTGCTGGTGTGCTACTACAGAGAACACTCTGTAATCTTTAGAGAGTTGGTAATTTGAACTCAACAAAGTAGAATTACTCCAATGATGAGAATGAGATGGTGGCGATGGTGCACTATCTTCTGATTTTTGTTGATCTATTTAGTGTTAACTAGCTTTTGTTTTATCAAGATTAAGACTTGGGACTTATTCATTAATGATCTAAAGATTCAATTTTTCAGATAAGGCGGTTGAAAGATCATGTTTTGGCACAGTTACCTCCCAAGCGGCGGCAGATCATTACCCTGAAACTGAAAACATCAGATATCTCCTTAGCAACATCATTATGTAAAGTCAATTGTGGGTTCGTTGGTTTTGATGATCCTTCGAATCAGTTGGTGATAGCCTGTAACGATAATGAGAATGATAGTGGTGAAAATTTGAGGAACTTCGATACATGCATTGGTAATGCTACCTGTTCTTTTTTCATCTTTATGTATTATTAGCAATTTTCTCTAAACTATTTATTTTTCACCTAGTATCCCTTTTTATTATTAATGATCAGGCTTTACTTCCTGTATCAGATTTATTTATTTTTTGGCATCCTTCTGGAAAAAAGTAATTCCATTAGAAAAATGATGTTCTTCTGCTCTCTGAATGCTTATAAACTTCAATTCCTTGTTTTTTTGTGTACCCTGGTTATGATTACAGGAATTGTTAGAAAGTTATCCGAGAAATCTCATATGTATCAGTGTTTTTTCAAGTTTTCAGATAGTGATTACCGAAGAACTTCAAAACTACTCTCCCTTCAGGAAATTGGCATTGCAAAGCTTTCTGGATTTTGTGAGTGGTTTTCAAACCATGTTGTGGTTGGGGACATGGACGTTGCAAGTAACTTGGGCATTGGTCTTGTCTCGCTGAAAATGATTATATTTGCTCATCATTTGAAGGTTCTAGATGGAGTTCAGGTTAGGTTTATATGTTTGAATTTATCCTATTCTTAGTTGGGTCCATGTTGTTGACGGAGTGATTAGTCAGCTTTTTTTATATATAGAGATTCATGTTTTAGAATATATTTGGCTTTTTTTAATATTTTTAAATTATATTTTTTGACATGATTTAGTATTTTCAGTATTTCTTCACTTGTAATTAAATCTTAGAGTTAACATGGAAGTAATTAATTATTATTTTGAGCACAATTATGAAATGCCTCACCTCTCCTGTCGACCGGGATTTTTGAAAAGGATGATTTTTTGTAGAATATGAAAATAGTTTTGATGTAAATATGATTTTTGAAAGTAACATTTTAATTTTAAAAATAGATGAAACCAAACGAGTCTCCATATTAAATAGTTTAGGCGGTTGAGTGTTATACCATAAGTAATATACTATCCCGAAGTATAAGCATACCACTTAACAGTAGGCTCAACCATCTAAACTAAGAAGTTTGTGACATCCGTTTGGCCTGCAAAAATATTTATGTATGGCCGGCAAGTTCCCTTACCTAATATAGGATTAGATAAGATTTATTTTACCGAGTTCCAAGTTTCTTATAGAGACAATCCCCTATAGTTAATTACATCTTAAATGACCGGGGTCATTTAAGAAGTCTCTCGATTAAGATCAGTGGTTTTGCCTTCCAGATTTCAAAGTTTAGGTTTCCAAGATTGGATATGGGAAAAATCAAATGGGAGTGGCTCAAATAGGAACAGTTATTTTAATGAATCCAAACGAGCGAAAAGTATGAGTTATCACAGATCCAGGGAGAACGCCGGTGACCTCCCAACTATCTTATTGTTTGACTTTGTCTTTGAAATGATGTTATTCATTGTTTAATCTTGCAATTTTTTTTTAGAATTTATGACTTATATTCACACGATATCTGATCGTACAAATGGTCTAGAATGATAGGAGGATTTACACCGTACCACACGGTAACCTCGGTGTCCTAAAAGTGTTACGAGTTATAATTGCACAACAGAGTTATGCAAAAACCTAAAGAAAAGGTGAGGATTTACGTTGCGCTAAGCAAACCACCTCGAAGTTCTATGGCTTGTTATTTAAACTAATAAAAATGCTTAGTTGACGTGAACTTGTTTTGAAGTTGCAGATCCATCTCGAAGTTATTTTTCTGTGTGTCCTCGTCATGTTGCCCACGGTGTTCGCTCCAAGCTCTCCGTCGTAGCACCTTCGGATTCGATGTTAATTTTAAAGATACATGCAATTGTTTAGTCAATGATCTGCTGACGGGTACCTCTTATGAAACCAACTACTGGCCTCGTATTCTAAGATATAGTGTGTAAGAGAAACAGTAGCAGGTACAAAGTATAATGACATTATTTAAGAAATGAGCTAGCATGCATTGTATCAACAAAAGAAATACCATTTGAAAAACTCAAGAAAGAGCGGCAAATGACTCACGACGAAAGAAAACTCGAGAAAATTGGTAAATGACTCACAACGAAAATCTTGAAGTAAAAAAAAAAAAGCAAATGACAACTCAGAGAAAGTCACCGAAAACACGGGAAGATCCCGGAATAAGACCACGAGTGCTTTACCAAAAGTTCTAATAAAATCTCACGAAAAATCCAAAGAAAGAAAACCGAAAGTCCTCGGGTCGTGGCTAGACTTAGATATTATATATTTGTACTCGAGGGACGTCCGAGGCTACTATCGGTTACCCGGATGTATAAAGCCCACAACTCAACTAGAAGGGTGTCCTACTAAACCGAACTTAGGAGGGTACTTCTTAGTGTGATGTTGGTAATCAATATGTGGACAATTTAGTTACAATATATTTAAAATTTATATTTTAGCATGCACATGAATTTCAGACATACAAAAGGAAGTATCAATTTTGTATTAAAAAATAATTTTTATAAATATTATATATGAATATATCATATTCTATTATTATCAATTTTGAAAAGTTATGATTGTCTACGAGTCGATCACGCCGTTAGGCGTAAGACCGCCAACAACCTAAAAAGGTAGGGGTCCCCCGCTAGTGTTGTGTTGGTGAATGATACTATCATCCTACAGCTTATCAGGTCTCAGGATCGAGTCCTGATGTTGTAGGATTGAATATCATTCTGCTCTACCACTGACGTGCTTTTGTCATCATCGCCCTAAGCCCCAAAAACAAAACCGATCTACTTGCGACCTTGCTTGATAGTTTCATATATAGAAAAAGGCTATATATGGGTACTTATGTGTCAGATATAAACACCAAAAATCGAACCAAGTAGCAAAGAAAAGAAGAATAAAAATTGAGATGAGAGAGAGGAGGAACTGATCCACCCAAAAGATCGAAAAGGCGAAGGGTGAATCAGTCCTCAGAAATGTGACAAAAAGACCTGAAAATGAGGGCTCAAGATCTTTGAATCAACCCAAGAACGGTATCCCTTCCAAATCTTGTTTCTAACAGGTCGAAACAAGCTCGAATCAATGTGACAATTGTATACGCAGCTCCACCGCCACCTATATATTCACACACCCAAACCTGAACTCAAATGTGACATTTATGTTATCCAAATTTTAATGTAGAACCTCCAAACTCTTCCCAAACGACAATTTATATCAACTTTATGTTTTCCCAAAACAAAGTTTTATGAGTCTTTCAAATTCCTCAAATCGAATCAATGAATATAATCCACAAACGACCACCTTCAAAATTCCCAAAATCTTGCAAACAATAAAACTGTCTAATTCTAACTCCAACCAAATGCTTTACATGTTATATAAGTACGAAATCATCCAAATAAAACCATATAAGTGCTCACGACCAGGGGAAGCCGCTATTGCCAAATTATCACATAAAGAAGTTACATGGTAAGGATCACGGCCAGGGGCAACAAGAAGAAGACCGCCAGCCCAACTTATCACCTATAGAAATCACAAGATGAGGTTCACGATCTAGGGCATCAGAGAGGGACAGCTACCAACACCAATTTAAGCTCACGGGTAGGGACAGCAAAAAGACAGCCAACATCTCAAGCTCACGGGTAGAGGCAGCAAAAGGACAGCCAACATCTCAAGCTCATGGGTAGGGGCAACAACTACAAGGAGCCAGAACCAAACCCCAAACCAATTTTTAAATCATTAGAATGAATTTTCACATGTATTCGAATAAGGGCAGCCAGGGGAATTAAAACTAAGACTTGTAAGTAGTTAAAACCAAACTACCACACAACCAGATTGAGCCTTGCAAAAGAGACCAAAAGCATAACAGAACTCCAGCCAAACTGAGCCCAACAAATGGGGAAAACAGGATAGAATTCCAGCCAAAACGAGTCCAGCGCAGGAACAAAATATGGCCACATTCTAACCAAATCGAACCCAACAAAAGGAGAGCCAAGAACATAATATAATTTCCAAAAAACTGAGCATAGTTTCAAGCCAAATCGAACCCAGTAAAAGGGCTAAATCGAGCCCAGCAAAGGGGCTAAAACAGTAAAGGATTCCAGCTAAAATGCAACCCAAAAGGAGTCAAACCGACCACATCAAATGGGTCAAAACAGAGAAACATTTCGGGTATAATCCAGTCCAAAAAAAGAGCCAAAACCAATACAAATCTTAAGCCAAACCGAACCCAACATAGGGGACAAAATGGAATATAATTTCAGCTGAACCAAGCCTAGTTTCAAGCCAAACCGAACCCAGCAAAAGGGACAAAAGACAGAGAAACATCCCAGGTAAACCGAGCCCATCAAGAGGGGCAAAAACATGATAGAATTCTAGTCAAAACGCAACAAAAAAAAAAAAAAAAAAAAAAAAAAACAAATAAACCGAACCCATCAAATGGGTCAAAACAGAGCCATCAAACTCAGATTTCATGAAGCCTTAAGCCTCAAAATTTTTGCACCCCAGCATATGTTTCAAACAGGAATTGATAGCAAGAAACAAATAAGTATAATGGATCCCTAAAGCCAATATTTCTCAACAATGAAATGAATTCCAGCATTTACTTGATTAGGAATAACAATAATAAAGGACTTCAACATTTCATTTCTGGCATGTGCTCCAAGTAAGTAAATATCATCACAGAGCAATAACTGTAGCTTTCCAAAATTTTATCTATAATGCATCTCGAGCAGAAAAAGAGAAGACAGTCATATCATGCTTCATCTTATTGATTCAAATAGGCCTAAACTCTTACTTCCACATGCTTTAGAAGAGAAAAGAAATATTTTTAGATGCAATCCGAAGTGATGCAGATTAGAAGAAAGAAGAAAAATACCTCTTAATGCAGACTCAAAACAAAACTCTAGGACAAACTTAAGAAAACACATTCCTATAGAAACTTTTCTACCAAAAGCTTCGAAAAACAACAACCAACGAACACTTGAATCTCCCCTCTTTCTCTCAAAATTTTCAACACCCCACCATCGTGCCCTAGAAAGGGCTTTTATAAGAAAGGAAAGGGGACATGGCCGTACCTACCATGATGTCGTGGCCGAATGAAGTAACGGGAAGGGAAAAGACGCATTTAGAGAGGAGGAAATGCGGCCTCGAGAAGGAGAAAAGTCGGCCAGCTGAAATCATATGATTGGAGAGCCGCTCGGTCGAGCGGCTACGCGAAGGAGAAGAGTCGGGAGCCGAGGAGGAAGCCACGTGGATTGCTCGCGAGATCTAGTGCACGAGAGGGAGAGGGCGAGCCGAGCTCCTCGACCGAAGGCAGTCCGAAAGAGGTGAAGGTCGAATCGGGTACGTGAGTTAGGTGAAATAGGTTTTTTTTTTAAAAAAATTCTTTTATTGTTATTATTTTGTTTTATTTTATTATTTAATTATATTAATTAGTGTGTGATTTATTTGTGCTCGAAACCCTTGCAAAATATGTATCCTTTCTGGGTAAAATTAACTCTCTGGACGTGTCGACGCAGTCTGTTTCGTCATCATTGGTCATTCGGACGAATTGATTGATTTGTGTGCGATTTGCTCGTGTGCAGAATTATGGCAATATGGGTGTCCTCCCTAGCTGAAAAAAATGTCCCGGACGCGCCAGAGCAGTTCGTTTCGTCATCAGAGGTCGCTCGAAGAAGTTCACATTTTCACCCCTCTTGAAGCTCAATTCTGGTCCGACCTCGCGCAACTTAGTGAACTTTGTGTATTTTGTGTGTGTGAGTGTGTTGATAAAGTCATAAAGGGGTTTCACTAGGGCTTGAGATCCTATTGGGAACATCTCTTTGATTTCTCACATGTTGGTCCTTAACCACTCGACCAAAAGATGATGGTTTGAGATCACTCAGGCGAGACACCGCAAGAAAAACGAGAAGTGATTCAAATTTCTAAAAAGGGGTGGGTCGCAGCTCTAGTCCTCTAAGATAGTCGATAGGAAGCCTTAGAGCTAGATTCTATAATCTAAGAAGTGAAGAAATGACCTCAAAATGAGGTCAACACCCCCCCCCCCCTCCCCCCTCTCTCTCTCTTTACCTTTCTTTAACATTGTCTTTTTTATTTTCGAACTCCTATGCCTCTAAAAGCTTTGATTTCCTTCTCCAGCGTATGTCTCTAAAACCTTTGATTTCCTTCTCCTAGATGTGGGAGCTTGTCGCTCAAAATTTTTGCGATACTGTAGCTGCTACAGTTCCCCGGGAATAGCTATCGCGGGAGATGGGCCTAAATAGTCTTGTTTTCCTTTCTTATGCTTTCTTTCTTATTATCCTTCATTCTTTTTTAGTCATTTCCTATAGATGTGTGGTATTAGGTTTTTGAAGTCAGTTTTTCACGTTTTTTGTTTAGGACAGCTGTCGGCATCCGTTATTCTTCTTTCGAGGGTTGTATCCAAGGAATTGGGTGGTGCTCCAGCTGTAGTTATCTCCCAAGGTGGTGATTATCTTCCTTATCCCCTACAATCCTTCTCACTTTGCCGCTTCGCATTCCTGTCCCTACAGGTCGCCCTAACAACAATTATGTTATTTTTTTTTAAGTTTCCTCGTTGTCTAGTCCTTTTCCTCGTTGCGTCTGCTCAGGACTACCTTCATTTGGTTGTCCGATAGCCCACCACGTTCCCCGTCGCCGTTCTAGCCCTCCATCCTCGCTGTTATTGCCTCCAGCCTTGGTGTGATCCTCCCAGCAGCCCACACAACACCCTCTCCATTTACTGCCGCCACCTTCCCAGTCTTCCTCGCAACCTCCCTCACCGGCTGGCTAGCCGCTGGCCATCTTCTGGCCACGTCCTCGTTGCAGCCTCCACTGTTTCCACCCTCCCTCTTGCTGCCGTCAACCCGGACAATCCTCATGCATTGTCCTCTTGCTGTTGACTTGCCATCCAGCTTCGGTGAAACCGTTGCATTTCTGTTTTCTACTTGTTAACCATCTTTTCCAGTCTCGTGCCACTTTCCTAACCCTCACTGACCAACACTACCACCTAGGATCCACCCTTGTCGATTGTTTATGTCATGTCAGTTGCTATTTTCTATTTTAGTGTCTCTACTTGTAACCTCTTTTTGCTTTTGAGTACTAATATTTCTTTTCTCTATTTTTTGCTCTAGTTAACTCTGGTATCACTCTTTTTATAAATCATAGAACCGCCACCCCTTCACTTGTTCCACGCTCTCCTTTTGTCTATTCGTATCTTCTTTCCTCTTATTTTCTTCTCCTTTCTGCTAATCATTAATCTTCTTCGTCCTGGTTTTCACTCATTGCTTCAATTTTTGCCTCTCTTCACAACCTAATCGCAATTCACTGAGGCAAACTTTACCCCTTTAATTTCCAATAACGTTTCTGTTTTTGATAACAAAGCTTAAGGTTATTGTAAGATCCTTCCATCATCACTTAGAAAAGTTCTCCTTGAAACTTTGACATCTAATCTTCTTTAATTATTGAAACGGTCGGTAATACATTTAATTTTTCTTATTATCATTTTCACCAAGGTTGAAGTATCAGTTAAAACTTTTGAATTTATATCATTCATTCAAAGATCTCTTGTGATACACTTTCACCCCTTGCAAAGGTCTACAACATTCAGTGAAAGTTGGTTAGAGTTCCTGCTGCTGTCTTCTTGGATAATCTTTGACAGCCACTACAGATTCATCCCTTCACTTGTTCCATCATCTCTAGAACCTGATGTTTTCATTTTTTTTTTCTTTTACTTTTTTATGACACTTATATTTTTCCCGTCACTCTATCTGGAAACAAACAACAATTGGATCTTTCTGATTAGGAAAATATATTTTTGGGTTATTTGCATTATGGAAATCATAAGCCGGTGCTCCTTAAGTATCTAGTTCTTGAATGAACTCTTGATGTTCATTCATAAACAGGTTCTGGAATCCCTACTTGATCTGTTTAATTATAGGAAGATTTTCTTACATACCACTTAATTCTTATGTATCTACATATAACACCTAACCTTTAATTTTTACAAATACTCCACCTTATCTATGCAGGAAAAGTTGTGTTTCACTTTTTAAAAGTTAAAATAGTGGTATTTTTTATGTGACAAAAATAATTTGGGTGGTATCAATGTAAAAAATAAAGTTTAGGTGCTAGATATGTAAATACATAATAAATGGATAGTATGTATGTAAATGCCCTTAATTATGTTCTTGCATGCTGTATTTTATATTCTACATCCGTGGAAAAATACCTTTCCAGTTTTACTTTATCCTTGTTCCAGAAATACTTGTTTACGTTTTATTTCTAGTAGTTCTTAACATACTTCTAGTTGAATTTCATCTGTTTAATTCATTTTACATTATTACATATTTCAGGATTTTGTATGTGAAAAGGGAATCCGGTTTGTTCGTATCGATGGTAGGACACTACCAAAAGATAGGCAGATAGCTGTTGAGTCATTTCGCCTATCAAGTGAGGTTAGTTTCATCTTCTCTCGGTATTTTCCCTTGGGATATTGGAATATAGTGAATATCTACTGGTAAATTGCTTATAATCTTCTATAACTCTTCTTGGAGGATTTTCATTTGAGACTAGTTACAAAATTAACGTTTAATGTTCCGGTAAAGTAATAGCTGGTGAAGAATATTTGAAGATTAAGTGATGTCTAGCAGGGAGAGGCTTAAGTACGACGATTTTATTTGAATATATGGGTTGAATTTGAGAATATAACATATGAAATTAAAGTCAGGCCACCAAGATTTAAGGCCACTTTCATTAAGCCTCACTATGAATGGAATATGTTGCGGAATTGATTGGTGGAAACAAGGAATTATATGGCAATTGAATATGAAAAAAATGAGAATTTCTAGGTGGATAAATGTAAATTTGGAAAGGATAAACTATGAAATATGTTTATAATAGTGGTTAATGGAATGATATCTATTGAAAATATGGTTGTAGAAAATAGGTTCAAAGTGTTTTTCATGTACATTGGAAAGAAGAAAGATGCACCAATAAAGCGGGCATATAGAAATGCTATAAACCATGTAGAAATTGATAGAGATTTAAAGTGAATTGAAGTGAAGTGTTTTAAAAACAAATACTCGTACGAATTAGTGGTTACACCTAATGGGTTTAGTATGTATAGATGTAAAGGAAAGGTTTACAAGTGCCTCTAAATTGTTAGAAGAGGGCCATGATGATTAGCTCTTGAATCTCTATGCTATTTTTTTCAGATATGCGATATAATCCATTTTAGATTCCACGGTTGCCTTACGTCTTTATCTAGTGAATTGTCTTAATCAAATTATCAATTTTTTTTTTTTCTCTATCCCACTCTATCCCATATAATATTGCTGATATTGCTGATAATTGTTAAAAAAGTTTTCTTTGATCACTTTTATGTCTGTATATAATCAGGTGAAGATTGCAATTATAGGAATTACTGCTGGTGGTGTTGGGCTTGATTTTTCATCAGCACAAAATGTGGTCTTTCTGGAGCTTCCTAAATCCGCCTCAGAGATGTTGCAGGTCCATTAAGTGCATTCACCATCATTAAATTGCTTCATGCATTTTTTTTATTTATTTTACATGCTGAAACATTTGTTGAAGAAAAACTAACGTGCTGTTACAATTTTGAGAGCAATTGCCAAATTACCAATTTGGTATCATTTATTTCAAAGCCACTCAAGTTCTATATTGATGACAAGTTTTCTTTTCTGCTAAACTGCTATGTGCGCAAATGCAAAATTTGGATACCTCCAATATTAAATGTGGGATTTTTTCTAAGGTTATCATTGTTTAATTTTCTTGCCATTCGGCCATCTTGATCCTTCAGATTTATTACTACACTCAATTTGGTTTGAAAAATGTCCATCGAAACTTTTTGTCAAATATTTTAATTTGTTATATGAAGGTAGCGTAATTCATTGTTTTTTATACCTATTATTGTAGTGAAGCGTGAATACACATTAGGTGGGGAAGGTCAAGGTAGTGACGGAGAAACAGTCAAATTTAGTCAATGTGTTTTGCATGTTTTAGTCATGGCTATTAACTTTAGCAGTGTAGCACTTTTTTTCTCTGTTCTACTTTTGTTGTAGCAAGGTGATGCCATTATTGATACACAAGTTAGAATATTGAGGGTTTGTTTTTAGTTTATATATATATTTAAATGTAAAAAAGTTATTTATATCAATCTAAAATATTATTTTGTTTTAGTTTTACTTGTGATACGGAGGAAATTATAATAATTTTTTTAAAATTAAATTAAATTGGCCGGGAGATTTACATACATAACACCTAAATATAATAAATAAATAAATAATTTCATCAAATTTTGCACATTTCTTAGATCCCATTTCTTCTCTGGTTTTCCTTAACTCTCAGATTAGGAAACTCCATTGGGAGATGGATTCACCAGATATAGAGAAGCTATGGTGCGTGAGCGGTTGGGAGGAAGGGTAGAAAGTTGACGGTTACCTTCCTCACTGGTTGCCGGTTGGAGCGAACGAAAGGAGGAAGATGGGAGTTTCGGGTTTTGTATGACGCGATCCCACCATTTCCTTCTTGTCTAGCTCCAACTGCAACTTTATCACGAGGGTTTGGTCACGAAGGAGATGGTTTTAGGAGAAATCGGGAGAGAGGAAGGATGGGAAATCGGTAGGAGGCCCTTTTCTATGTTCTTGTAGAGCGTCACTCCTCGACCAATCAGGAAGGCGGCAAGGAGAGGGTGGGAGATGAATCGTGAAGGTATCCGGAAAGGGAAAGGCAAGATTCACTAAATCCAATCCGGAAGCAGCAACACAGAAGGAAATCACGAGCAGTGGAAAAGGAAAGAGAAAAAAATGGCGTAAAGGAAGATGGTAAAAAAAAATTTGGTTCTTACAGAAGCGACATGGTAAAGTTTGGCAATGGTGGAGGGCAGCTGTGTTAGGCGGCAGCAAACCTGAGAAGGGAGGGAGATGGCTGGAAATGGTGGAACTGCAAGAAGTAGCTGTAAAAGTTGTTGTTTCGGAGGTACAATAGAGAAAGGGCGGTCAGGAGCGATGTGGGAGAATGCAGAAGATGATATGGGGAAGAAAATCACCATCTCGAGAGAGAGAGATGCAACCAAAGCACCACCCAATCTCTTGGATACAACATTCAAAGCGAGAAAACGGACACCGGCGGCTTTCCTAAACAAACTCACACCAAAATTGAGAATCCATGTTATATCATAACACATATATGGGAAATGACTAGAAAGGAACGAAGAATTAAAAGAAATTTGCTAAAAGTTGGAAAGAAATTGGAAGGGAGGCCGCTCGATTAGATTTGGCGTTGTTCATGCGACCCTTCACAAGACTGTAGCAGCACCATGGAAAGGGAGCTCCCAGGTAGCTCCCACATCAATCAAAGCTTGAAATAGCTCTCTATTTGAGTATAAATTGAATAAACATATCAAAAGATCGAGTTTCAACAATTTTTTTGAAATTTCTATCAATTGAGGTTTTTTTTTTCTTGGATAGAATTTTGAAAATCCTCAACGGTGAATATATTTATGGTATCTAAAAGTATGTTCTATGTTCTTAATTGGGCGTGAGTGTTTGTTTGGCACAAAGTGGATGGAAGTGACCTCATTTGTTTGGAACTCACTTTATTAAATGTGAGAAGTGAGTAACTATGGGCACTCAAAAGTCACTTTTTTTTTCTCTTTTGCATAAGGTTGTACAATAATACAAATTGTTGTGAGGATTGGTTAGTTAAGACTATTTAGGCTAATTCTGATTGGAATTTTAAATTAATATAGTTAATAGAATCTGTTATGGATTTTGTGGGTGAAAAAGTTATTAATCAAAGATGAAATATTTAATTGTAAATTAATTTGAAATCAATTATTGAAACAATTATTATATATTGGAAGATAATATATCTAATTATGTAATTATTAATATTCTCAAAATGAAATTACATTATTGACCATAATAAGAACATTTATGATTAAAATATTAATTTAGTTTGTCTTCCTGTGAAACTCAGTATAACGCAAATGAACGTAGGGTTCACAATAAGTGAATAGTGCTAAAGAAAAAAAAATTCTTTAAAACTTATTTATATAAAACTCACTTCTAGAACTTTGCTTTAATCACTTATAAAGAATTACATTGGAATAAAGCAACTGTTAACAATCAAGTCTTTGCCCTTTTAGACTAATCCTGAGAACTCTCATCCTAAAAACTATACTTGAAATCTTTTCTTTCCTTATCCCGTTTCTTTTTCCTGAGAGCGACAATCCCTTCATTGTCTTTAGTACAATCTTTCATCCCAACTGTGATTCGCCGAACAAATCAAGATTCCTATTTCATTATGCAGTGTATCGGCTTGATTAACTTTGATAATATTAGTATAGCTGCACTAATTCCTCTTTTTTTAGTAGATGTCAAATATAATTTTAGTGTTTTGTATGGCCTTTTTAGATTTGTTGCAGTCATCCATTTTGATAGTGTGGAGTTATTTGTTTTGCATACAAACAACACAATGTTGTGTTACCATCCATGTGTGATTTTTATGCTCAATTGTGTGATAAAACGTGCATATCTTTTTTCTAGGCGTCATTTAATTCATTTAATTTCTTGTAAGTAGCATTTTGGATTTCTACTAAAATAATGAACTTTTAAGTTCCTTCATAGGCTGAGGATAGAGCTCATAGGCGCGGGCAAACTAATGCAGTCAACATCTATATCTTTTGTGCCAAGGTACACATTATTTGTGTTTGGTGCCGTCTTTCTCCATTTTACAAGTTATAAAAGGAATGTCAGCTTCCATGCTAGTGATTTCTGGTCATTGTCAAGTTTGAGCCGGAACTTCTTATACTAAGTATTTGTAATTTGCAATGTATAGCCTAACACAATGCTAAATATCGCTTGATATGTTTCAGGGTACTTCTGATGAGTCGCATTGGCTGCATTTAAACAAGAGTTTGTTTCGTGTTTCCTCTATGATGAACGGGAAATATGATTCTGTAAAGGAGATAGAGGTATCATCTCTGTGTTTGCATTGATTCCCCCTGCATTTTGTTTGTTTTAATTTTATTACGACTCTTGATTTTCCTTTTGCTTGATAATATAGTTATAATTAGTCCAATCGACAGTTGCAATTTTTAGGTTTCTATGAATGAGATAAGTAAGAGTTTGAGTTGATTCAAGTGTGTTTAGCAAATTGATTCTTCATCTCCTATTGCATTTTGAGTATTAGGTTGAGGGAGTTATCCAGCTTGGTAATGCTGCAAGTACTGATGAAGCAAATTGCGGCAATACTTTCATTACTCAACATCAAGGTACAAAGTGTCAAAATAATCCCTTGATTTTTTTTTGGGATTCATTTTAGTACCTGAGTATATAAAAATGTCAATTAGTTCTATTTCAGCCTCAATTTAAAGAGTTTGGGGACTAATTTGACACTTTTATGGACTCATGGACTAAAATGGTCTCATGTAAATTTGACACTTCACTCTTTTCAATGAATATTTCAGTATTAGTTATAGCTGGGACATCCTATTTCTAGATTTTTTATGACAAGTTGTAAAATGTATAGTTGTATCCTCGGGAATTCAAGTTTCCACTCCCGATGCATGTAATAGCTTCGCCGTAGAGAAATCACAAGGCAGTGAGGATGATATACTCCAAACCCATCATCATGAATTGGAGGTAATAATTTTCTTCATTCTAATTTGGTTTTCCTTAAAGCTATTTTTTGGGCTTTAGTTTCCTTTATCACTAATTTGTCTAAACTGTTCTTAGTTAAACGGTGGTCGATATTCCATTTTAAATGAAAACCTTGAAGGCAATGATGCTGAAGCTTCGCATTCTTATCCCTCTGAAATGAGATGCGTGCTTGATAGGGGCAAGATGGTGGCGGATTCAGTAGAGGTAATTTCATACCAGGTATAAATTATGCTCTTGGAAGATTCACATACATACCACTCAATTCTTATGTACAAATCTAACACCCAAGCTTCAATTTCTACAAACATGCCACCTTCTCTATGCATGAAAAGGTGTGTTTCACTTTTTAAAAGTTAGAAATGTGGCATTTTTATGCCATATGAAAGATTTGGGTGGTATAAATGTAAAAATTAAAGTATAGGTGTTAGATATATAAATGCATAAGAATTGGGTGGTATCTATGTAAATGCTCCAATATTTTTTTGTATGTGTAGTTGATTCTTCAAATCTTGAGATGTGAGGAATTCGTCTTTGTTAATGTTGCTCGTATATAATCCAATAGTTCAAATAAGTCGAATGATGCAGGAAGAGGGAAGGTGGTTACGGCTAACGAGTGCTGATGGTGGTCCTTATGTGATGGATGTCGGTGGAGAGATTGTCATGCAAAGAGAATCTCTTCGGTTTGAGGTAAATATAGCACACATCAGTTAGTCTTTTTTTGCAATTCTCTCGTCTACTGTTTTTTCATAATATCGTTTTTTTTCCGCTCTATATCCACCACTAAACTCCAAGAATAATTTTGTTGTTAGTCATTTCAACTTACAATTGCTTATAACTTTGTGTAATAATGATTATCATTCTTTTAATTATCAAGTACACTTCTCTGGTCTTCCCATTCATAATTTTGTGCTGCAAATTTAATCTTAATTGCAGTTTAGTCAACCTTGAACATTTTTTCACTAATGTTGTGCTGTCATTTATCGGCGATGTCATAATTCCTTGAACTCTTGAATGTAATTATTTTTACATTTTCTGTTGCAGGTAAGTCATTATACAGGGAGGATTCACTTGTATCTCTGTGTGCCTGGAAAGGATTTACGGCCAAGGCCAATTTTTGTGAATTTTAGGCAAGAGGAATTAGACTCCATCGTGTTTTCACTTGGAGAATCAAAGAAGGAAGCTGCTTCCCAGCTACTGAAGGAAAATCCTGCATATTGTAATATCTTTCAAACTTTTATCAAAGAGTGGAGCAATTTAAGACCTATTGAACGTCATAAGCTCCTTGGGAAACCTTTACAGCTTCCTCTTAGCCTTGAACTGTGCTATTTAAAGGAAACTTCCAACCATGGGTCTAATGTATGTAAATCCAGGACATTTGCGCAATTCTTATTGTTCATGTGTTTTTAAATGCCGTTATATTTAAGATATAATAACTTAATGTTAATCGTCCTCTTATTTTGTTGGAGATAAGTGTCAAAATGGTCCTCTAGCTCTTTACTGGGGCTATTTTAGCCCCTGAGTGTCAATTTAGTCCCGGGCCTCTTTTAATATGACTTGAACTAGTTACCAATGATGACTATTTTGGCCCCTATCAAAATATTCCCAAGGACTAATTTAGCACTTCTTTAAACTCTGAGACTAAAATGACCTAATGGAAATGGTCGGGGGCTATTTTGACACTTTACTCTATTTTTTTGTAATAGTTCAGATTATATGATAACTGTCACATCTTATTATACAAAAACAATACGATGAAGAGAATTTTATTATACGAAAAAAATTCAATTGAGAGAGATGAATTTCTTATAAATGTCATTGTTGTGAGATTGGTCCTGTGAAGGTGTATTGTTTGGGATTTTTAAAGAACTGCAAAATGTGCATACTCTTAGAAGTCGTATTTCCAGCATTTTTTATGAAAGTTTTGTTCTTTAATGGTTGGCTTGCCTGACTAATGAACACTCTCTTTACAATTCAGGGGTTGCTGAAAGGTGGAAGCAAAAGACGAGTTACTCCATTAAGTGAGATAAGCTGTCATCTTCCCGAGAATGCTTGTTGGAAGAAGGTTGTTCTTTACAGTGGCTCTGCTAAAGAGAAAGAGTATACTCAGGCTTGGTCCAGCAATGGCGAGCCGCTCTGCAAGTTCTGCCATTCAATTTGCAAGTATAGCCAATTTTTTTAAGCAAGATTTGCATACACACCACTTCCATTTTTACATACATGCCATCTTACATATGCATGAAAATGTGTTTTTCACTTTTTAAAAGTTAAAATGATGGTATTTTTGAGATGATATGAAAGATTTGGGTGTTATATATGTAAACAGCAATGTCTAGCCGTTACATATGTAAATACATAGGAATTGGATGGTATGTATGTACATGCCCCTTTTTCTAAAATTCTACTGTCATGATCTATTTCTATTTGTACTTAAATGTTTACCACGATTTCATATCCAAAATTTTCAATCATAACATACATGCAGTGAAAAGCTCTCAACAGCTCCAGAATTTTTTGAGGATTTGTTTTGTAATATGTCTTGCTTTCAAGAATACCGTGTAAGAACTAGCCAAAAAGCCCTACGCGAGGTAAACGTCAGTCATTCCTTCAATAAGATATCTCAAAAGAAACTCATTAGGTTGAAATAATTATGAGTGAATTGCTCATGAAAGCTAACAGTGACATCACAGGCACTTTTTCAAATAGAGCATGGTGTTTGTACAATTTGCAATCTTGACTGCCACAATCTTGTAAAAAACATAAGGCCTTTATCCATTGCAAGGAGGAGGAATCATGTTGAGAATGTAGCTCCGGAGTTGGCCAAGAAAAAGAAACTGTGAGTGTCATTTAACTTGAAAGTCTTTTTTTTTTTTTTTTTTTTTGGGACTGTTTTGGGGTTTTATGATTTTTGAATTAGAAATATCATTATTTTGACAAGGAGGGTAGAAACAGAGGTTGTGATTGCTTAAAGATATTTTTTAGGGAAATTTACATATCTGCACATAATTTTTATGTATTTTCATATGTGACACAAAGTTTCTTGTTTACATAAATAGCTCTTTGGTGTATGTGTAAGTGAGCCAAGATGACTCGTGAGCCGGTTGGGGTTCAACTCTGTAAGTGGCTAGTGAATTGAGCTCGATGAGCTATCAGACAAGCTCAAGTCAGCCCCGACTCGACTCGTTAACTTGTGAGTCGACTCGTTTAAAAAATATTTAATTAAAAATATACTTAAAATATATTAAAATAAAAGAAATTTTCTTTAAATTATTAAAATTATTTTAAAAAAAAAGATATTTTACATTTTATATTAATTGATTTCTTATTATTTATCTCCTAAATATTCATTCTATTTGTCATTTCATTATAACACCAACTTTAATTAACATTTTCTCTTTATCATATTAAACAAGCCGGCTCGAACTCTTACATGTAAGCTCGAGCTCGAACTCGATTAACTATTCAAGCTTCAACTCAAACCGAGGGTGGTTGGAGCTCAGCTCGACTCGTTTACACCCCTACTTTTTTGCTTTAAACCCATGCATGAAAATGTGCATTTCACTTTTAAAAAAATGATAATAGTGATATTTATGTCTTGATATTAAATATTGAAGTTTAGGTGTGAGATTGTAATTACTTCAAGGATTGTGTGCTATGTAGATGCCCTTTTTTCATAGAAGTTAGTGAAATATCCATGTTTTCGTTGGACCTACACATCTTAATATAACCAACTGTGTACGCTAGTGTTAACTGTTAAATAGCTTCTTAATTTCAGTTAGTATTGTTGGAAGGATTTTCTTCCAAGGCCTTCTGATTTATACCAGAAAATATTGTCCCGTGGAATTTTTTTTTAATAATAAGATATTAATATATTCATCCTGTATATTTGGGACCATGAACTTTTTCTGGTTGGACAAACTTCTCTGCAGGTTGGACAAACTTGTAACTGAGCCAGTTGAGGGTAATGCATGGCATGCTGATCACATAGTGCCTGTTTTCAAAGGAGGGGGTAAGAATATTCTTAATTGTATTATAGGACTCTGAAGGGTTTTTCAAAATTTTTTATTGTGGTGCATGTACATACTTACCAGTCAATTCTTGTGCATTTATATATTTAACAAGTAAACTTTACTTTTTACATTTATACCACCCAAACCTATCATATCACATCAAGAATACCAGTATTTTTAACTTTTAGAAGGTGAAATATACATTTTCATGCAAAGGCAAAGTGGCATATATGTAAAAATCGAAGTTTAGGTATCAGTTATGTAAATACATAGGAATTAAGTGGTATGTATGTTATTTTGTCAAGCTGAATCATGAGTTGATGCAGGCTCGGTTAACTAGTAAGCCATGATTCAGCCTTCTGGTCATGTTTTATCGTAAAATATGATTAAAATATGTTAAAATGAAGGAAAAAAGATATTTCAACTTTTATTAAATTTATCTTTCTCATCTGCATTGATTTGTCATTAATATTTCTCTTCCAAGTTCTTCTAGTGTTTTATTACAATCACTTGAATTGAGAATGAAATAAGCAAGCTTGCGAACTGACTCGAACTTATAGATTTAATATGTTGGCTTGAGTTTGATTTCACGCGGCTACGCCCGTAATTTGAAGCGGACATGAAATTTGGTATGGCAGGTGAGTGTAGACTCGAGAATATGAGAACTTTATGTGTGTCGTGTCACGCCGAGGTCACAAAGGCTCAAAGGACCGAACGGCATCAGGCGAGAAAGAGGGCTAAAGAACAGCTTAAAATTGCCATGAAGGGGCAGGAAACAGAGTTGAATCATTGTGTAAGTATCAAAACCTTGGTGCTCAACTGATCCATAACTCTACTGTAAATCATGGTAATAATGTTAGGTTCAGTCCATATAACAACAGCTTTATTAACTTGGTCTGTATGTAAGGGGAATTTATAATTTTTATGTATTTACATATCTACCACCTAAACTTCTATATTTACATACCTAACACTTTACTAATTAATATCACATCAAAAATATCACTAATGCTAACTTTTTTTTTTTAAATAACGAACACCTTTCCATTGATGGGTATATGACGCCAAAGTGTTATAAATCTAAATATATCAAACTATAGGTGCTAGATGTGTAAATACAAAAGAATTGTGTGGCACTTATGTAAAATTCCCAAAATTGAAAATCTCATTTACTCTTTAGAATGAATTCTGTTTAATGCCTGAAGGTTGGTGGAGCTGGAGGAGCAGACTCTGAAGAAGACCCTTTACTTGTACATGTTCCAGGCAGTGCTTATTCTGAAAGTTAAGGACAGGAGCTTTGCTGGCTGTATACTCCAGCTTATTGCAGGTATGTTTTCCTAAATCAGTTCTCATTAATAAAAAGAAGTAAAAATATAATTATCAAATAAAGAAATGAGTTTTTACATAACAACCATCCAAAACATTGAATATAACATTTTAGCCACCCAAATTTTAAATATACTTTCATATTTACCTGCACAGCATTCAATCTTATGTCAAAGTATCACTTTTACTTTTTTTTAAGTGAAATACACTTTTTAATGCATTAGGTTTATGACACCAAAGTGTTATAAATGTAAATATAAATGTTTAGGTGTTAGATATTTAATACGTAACAATTCTTGCATGAAATCAATTTTCTTTATAGTCTTTATTGCGGCCTGTTATTTGAAAAAATATTGCGCCCGGAGTCCGGACGCGATGCATGGATCGCGCTCGAGATACTTTTTTTTTCGCGAGATATATATATATATATATTTCGTCCAATGCATCTCGCGCGCGATCCGTGCACTGCGTCTGTTGCACAGATGCAGCTCAGCTTCATGACTCCGGACGCAATATTTTTTCTTGATATTTACTAAATAAATTTTAGCTTGTTTTTTTTTTTTCATTTATGAATTCTGCTGTCTATTTACAGTTTTACCCTTTTCAGGTTTCTTATAGGCGCATCATAATTCTTAGCATGCATTCAAATTGAAGCATTTGATGCAGGATGTATTTTTTGTTGCAAAATTGCAAAATTAAATGAGGGTATAATCATAAAATTGTTTTTGATTGGGCTAAATTGTAAAATTACGAGCTTTTAGATAACAGGAAGGTCAATGGTGCTTCAAGTGAGTCAACCCCCAAATGAACAATTCAAATTTTGAACAATGTTTTTGAAGCTTGTATAAAATAGTTTACCACGAAAATTACAAAACTATCCTCCACCTTCCATGTAATATTAATAATGAAGTAGCAACAATTCTACCACTAAATAGGTAATAAAAATGCCATCTTGCTTCCACATGCTGATGGTGAAACTTCAATCAATTTTGCATTAAAGTCCCCATGATTCATAAAATCACGCATTCGCATTCATTCCCCTTCGATTTTTTCGATCTCTTCTTCTCTGTTAACAATATATAATTAGAAGGGTTGAAAAATCATAATTGGGAAATTTACAATTTTTATGTATTTGCGTATCTCAAACGTAAGATTGAAATTTTGTCGAATTCCATCATCTCGGACCCCAAATCATGACTATATGATTTTATGTCTGAGATTTGCAACACATGAGAATTGTGCTGTGTGTAAATGTCCCAAAGATACTTTTGTTCGAGCAAGCGAATGAAAAAGGATTTACTGATTTCTCGTTCGATCGAAGGTGGCGGTCGAACGACGACATGCATAGTTGTAGCAGTTGTGAGATCAAATATAGTGCTCCTGCACTCTTCCAATGTGTTCTTGTTTTCAAGTATTCTTCCAGCATTGATCAGTGTCAGGTCATTTACAGTTCTTGGTTGGTTCTCCATTTCTGTTCATTAGAAGAAATTTACATTCATGCCACTCCATTTCTGTATTTGCAAATTTAAAACCTAAAATTCAATTTTTACATTTACACCGTCTAAATCTTTCATATCATATCGTAAACGCAGTCATTTTAACTTCTAAAAAGAAAAATGCACATTATCATGCATGGGGTGTGGTGGTAGGTTATGTAATTATTGAAATTTAGGTGTTAGATATGTAAATGCATAGGAATTGAGTGGTATGTATGTAAACCCCAAAAAAAAAAAAAAAAAAAAAAAAAAAAAAGTTATTAAACACACGCAAAAATGATGTTTTGCATTTTTTATCGTAATTCTTACTGCTTTTTACAAATTTCTGTGGTAGAAAATTGTTCTTTCAAATTAAGCATTTTTTAAGCTGTTTTATTCAACATAGTCTTACAATCATCTTTTTAAAAAATTGAATCCGCCTCAAATAGATTCTAAATCTAGAATTTAAGACGAAACTAAGAAGTTGAGAAGGAACTGGATTTATTAAATCCTGAATTTAAGCTTGCCTCCTTTTCTTTTCTAGTTTAGATTAGTTCTAAGATCTTCATCTTCCTATAAGGGCAAGCCCCTATAGTTAGTTACATCTCACGAAACCGATGTTGTCTAAGAAAACTCTCGATTAAAGATGGTTTTGTTCTCAAGAAATTTCTAAGTTCTCAATTGATTTGGCGTTTAAATTAAGTCATACTTAAATCTGTTATCAAAACACTCAACTGAAACTTAATCAGCTTCAACATCTATCATATCAAACAATTTGAAATGAAATAAATGGCAGAGATTAGTCCTTTACATACTTACCACTCAATTCTTATGCATTAACATATCAACCACCCAAATGTAAATTTTTACATACATGCCATCCAGTTCTTATGCTATTTGTGCATAAGTTGGGTGATCTGAAGGTAAGAATTGAAGTTGAGAGGCGTTTTGTATGCTAATACATAAGAATTTGGGGGTAGATATGTAATAATCCCAAAAAAAAAAAACAATGAAAAAGAATTTGTAAGAACCTTTAGGCCATTCAGCAATAATGCTTTCCTTCAAAGCGATCACAGTAGTAGCCATTGAGTAGCTCTTTGGACCAATGTCTGATCCATCTCCCAATCTGAACCTGATTTCTAATTGCTCCTCATGATCTCCGTCCATTCTGAAGAACCTCAAAAAATAAAAAAAAAACAAATAAATCCTTTTTTTTTATCAAATTAAATAATAAATTAGGGTTTCTTCCTCTCAAAAACTGTGTTCTGTATCTCGAAGAAGTTAGCCTTGGGCGGGCGAAGTTCCTTTGAAAGTTCCTTTGAAAGTCACGTTGGTAGTGGGTAGAACGAAGAACTGACCTGTAATCTAAAATGGTGAAAAATCACAAATTTCTTGGATATGAGACTTATGGCTTTAATAAAAGAGTTTTGAGAGAGGAAAGGCGGCAGCTTTAAGTATATATCATCAAATATTGTCACTAAATATAGTTTTATCTAAAATAAAATATAACTTTTCACATTTATAAATAAGTCAACATATATGTATATATATATATATATATATATATATTAAGTATTAAATTATTATATAATACATAAAAATACTATGTCATGCATGTAAATTTCACTTAATAAAGAGATTAAAAAATTGGTCATTTTTATTCAAAATGTACAGATTTAAATTTAATTAAAATAATACCTTATTAAACTTACTTGAATACTTATATAATATAAGAATTTAAAATTATTTTAATAAATAAAAATGTCATTATTAAACATTTTCTCTCTATATTATGTTCTTATTTCTTTAGCCGCTTTGCATTTTATTTATTTATTTATTTATTTCTCATCTTTGAAATTTTTCAAATTCTTATTTAAAATCACAATCATAATACTCGGTTAATGAGTAATGATTGAGCCCACTTTTGAAAATATTTAATAAATGCTACTTTTACATATTCTTCTTGTTTTTTTCCAAAATGCCCCCTTTAATTTATTACAAGATGAGGATAATAAAAGTATTATTATTTAAATTTTATATTTTATTCAATTCAAAATAAATTATTTTAAAATCATGTTAATCAAATTTTAATTAGGATAACTTTTGATCTATTATTTACGTTTAAAAAATCTCAAATTTATTTTTTAATGAGATATTTTCCGCATCAATTCTTATATATTTACATATCTTCACTTTTCACTTTTATATAGCTTCGAAATACTTCATATCTCGTAAAATATCATTATTTTATTTTTTTTTTTTCAATGAACTTATTGCCTCGTTGTGTTAGAGTAACAAGTCAACGTCTTAGTATTGTGCGAAGATTTGACGCATACACAGGTAAAAAAAAATAATATAAAAGACATCAAAAGTTCTCATGGGGTATCTATATTATTATAATTTATAAGACTATACTAGTCCTCAACTGGTCGGGAGCAAGTATACACAATGATATGACTTTCGCTTGGGGAATGGCATAATATGTCAAGGAAATGGTGGTGTACTGACGAAAATGGTTTGGTGATATCCCTAGTGGTGGCGGCGGTGACAATCGAGCAATAGTAGCACTGACAGTGGTGGAGGTGGTGGTGATGGATGGTCGGGAGTGGTATGAGGGCAATAATGATAGTTTAGCAGTGGCTATGGCTCGACGGTGGTGGTCGGGCGGTGCAATTTGGTGGTGGTCAGGAAGAATTGACAGTGGTCAAATGGTGGAGACAGTTTGACAGTGGCGACCAGGCTGTGGTGGTCTCCCAAGGGAGGTGACCGGTCAGTGATGGTCTGATGGCAGTTGAACTGAGGAACCATCAAGAGCTTGAATTTCTTTTTCGATCTCCTCCAAGTCTCGTCCCATGTCCCATTTAATGAAGGGACAACAACAATAAAAAAACCTTTATCTCATAAAGTGGTGCCAACTACATGAATCATTTTTCTCCATTGTGTCCTATTGAGTGTTATATTTTCATAAAGGGGTTAGACTCTATTTATAAATTTTGTAGTGATATTTCTATAAATAATGAATAAATTCAAACCACTTCATTGGACCACACAGAGCGATTCCTATGATTGAATGGTGTTCTATGAGCATTTGAGAACTTTAATGATGTCAGAATTGAGTGATCTTGAGCTCATTGAATTTTGCTCGACAAGATGCTCGATTTGACTAAAAATTTGTTATGTTTGGAATTCATTTAACCATTCAATTATGCATCCAAACCTTCCAATTAATATTACATACAAAGCACCAAAAATATTACCATTCACAAATGAAACACAAAGTGATTTTTTGAACTACCCAACCCATGCATTTAAGCATAAATATCAAACTTTACGCTTATCGTGTTATAAGTGTAAAGATCAAATTTTAGGTGATAGATATGTAAATACATAAAATTTGTATGGTATGTAAATATCACTTTAAACTGTCCAACTTGCACTTGTCCCACAGAAGAATATGACAATAAAAGGCAGAATAAAATAAACATATGCACAGCTTCAACAAATTTATTATACAATTGAATATATGAAGAATCACAAAGAAATAATATCCTAACAGCCCCTGCCATAAGAATCCCTAACATTAATATTCCTTCATAAATGATAAAAATAATTAAAAAAAATTAAAATTTGAAGGCAAAAGAATTGTGGAAATTACAAAAAAAAAAAAAAAAAAAATTATGGCCAAAGTTTCTTTCAGCTGTGTAACAATCCAAGCCTTCTTCTTTCAGCATTGTGCCAATAAATTTTGCTGCTCCCTTGAATTATGGCTCATAATGTAATTATAAAATTACTGAAAAATTTATATTTCAGATCAAAAGAATGTTCAATTCACCAGCAGCAAAGCAGAGAAATTGCATATCTGTCCAAAAATATGGCTCTGTTTTCTGAGATTTGAGAGATATATATATGACTGATCTACTCTTCAGGGTTCAAAATGTGACAATTTCTGATGAATTCATTGGAGTAATTTACATATTTTGTCCAAAAAGGCTTCAGGTGCTTGAAACCAATCTCCAGCCATGGCTTACACTGACCATTATAATGAATGACTGCAGATTTTCTCACATTGTCAATGTTGGTCTTCTCCTGGTAGCCTAAGCCTAACATATGCCATGACGGATCAATTGGGTGAACATAGCCTCTGAAAGCGATAAGAGCCGGAGGCAGCGTGCCGAACTTCCACAGTGTTAAGTTCGAATTTAGATTCTGCAAAGTTCCGAAAAAAAAAAAGACGAAAAGTAAAGAGTTGTCAGGCTCTGTGTTTTAGAATAGGGGCGTTTAAATACATACTACTCGCCCGATTCTGATGTATTTATGTATCTAACATGTAAACCCTACTTTTTACATATATCTCATGTAAATCTTTCATTTTAAATTTAAAAAAGTGAAATACACCTGTTCCTGCAGAGGTAAGAAGGCATATATGTAAAAAATGAAGTTTATGTGTTTGATATGTAAATACATAGGAATTAAGTGCTATGTATATAAATCTTGCTTTAGAATATTATATGTTTTAGACTGAAATATAAACTGAAGAACCTAAACAAAAAAGCCAATTCTAACACACCCAACCAACATGATTATGTCCCAACCATTTGGGGCCAGCTATATAATGTTAACAAATTATAAAATTTTCATAATTCTGAGCAGTTCAAAAAAAAATGACATGTTTCTCAATATACCTAGTGAGGACTATTAGCCCTCATTAAAACAGTTTGAGACTAGTTTGACACTTTTATAAATTCTAGGACTAACATGACGCCATCTAAAACCTAATATGATTAATATTAAACGCCGACCATCTGATGATCCGGTTAAGAGAGTAGTTGTTTTAGATGCGACTTATGTTAAGAAAGATAAAGTAGACCTAAAAAGACTGGGCATATTGTATAAAAAATGATCTTAATTTATTAGAATTAAATGAAAATACGACACTTAATAGGACACAATAGAAACAAAGAATTTACGTAGCAGACCTCACTTGGCGCGATAAAGGCTTATTGTTGTACTCTTTTAATATGATTACAACGATTGCAACAAATAAAAATTGAAGACAATGAGACTGTTGAAAATTACCTCCTGGAGCCAATAGTGGTATGAATCTCTAATTTTTGTTTTCCTCCAGGCGTTCAGATCAAAGATATTCATTCCATATGCCCATGCACATTCATCTTGATCCAAATTATCAGAAATTATGGGATGAGAAAAGTTGAAATATGTCCGAAATCGTTTCGACATGACCCATTTATCATCACCCCTGCAAGTTTCTACAGCCCCATTTATCTTTCCGGACATATTAATATCCCAAAGTGGTGATAAGTCGCGTTGAATAACAACATCATCATCAAGAAATATCACCTTGTTGAGATTTGGAAATAGCTGTTTCAACACATTGAATGTACGTGTTAAAGGAGCGTGAAAAATATGTTACAAGGTTTTCTATCATTGATCATAATAGATAAATGCATTGCATTAAATATATGAAAAATAAAACTACTAAATGTGAAATTGAGTGAAATATTAGCTCAAATATACAAGTTACATCACAATCATTAGTTATGGAGTAAGGTGTAAAAATAATCCCATGATTATTTTCATAGGATCATTTTAGTCCTGGAGTCTACAAAAGTGCTAAATTAGTTTCCAAATATTTGAGTAAGAGTTGAAATTGATATTTTTATAGATTACGGGATTAAATTGATATTTTTATAGATAATGGGACTAAAATGACCACCTATAAAAAATCAAGAGACCATTTTCACAATTTTCTCATTTGTTATGTTTATTGTTTCATTTTACATTTTTTTTTATAAAAAAAAAATGTGAGAAAATAGAGAGATGCAAAAAATGTTCTTGCATGGCTTTGAATTTTCTAGCCATTGTTTTTTCTCTTTCGCAAAATTAAGATGACTTATATTGTTTATATATATATATATACACACACACACACACACACACACACAACTAAGTGTACATATAAATTCAAATTTTTGTTTTGAAAACTTAAAAAACATCTACAATATGTTCTCTAAAATTTTAAGACAGCTCAACCTATTTGAAGAGAAAAAGAAAACAAAACAAAACAAAAAATAAACCAAACATATTTTATTAGCTCTTTAACCAATTTTTTTTAAAATAATAATAATAAGAAAAGACAATCCTGAATAAACAGAAAACATTGTGTCTTAAGAGTTCATATTTTCTTCTTTCCATAAAATGATGAATGCATGTATATAAAAAAGTAGGGAAATTTACATTCTTAGCATTTGATTCTTATGTATCTACATATCTCCCAACGAAACTTTCATATGTACATACATAACACTTTGGTGCTTTAAAACTATGCATAAAAAGGTATATTTCACAAAATTGCTATTTTTAATGTATTATTCAAGATTTGAGTGCTATGTGTGTAAAAATGAAAATTTAGGTGTGAGATATGTAAACACATCAGAACTTTGTGCTATGGATATAAATTTCCCAAAAAATTACCTCAGGCAGGTAAATGCGAAGATGGTTGAGTAGAGAGATATATCTTGGGCTCCTCGCTTGCAATTTCGAAGCAAAAATTCTTGGATTATCAGTAATATTACTACCCTTAACATGGTTTCCATGATAATGATTTTGAACACCATGATGACTCTCTATAGCTTCAAGAATAGGCACATTATCCCTTGTCAACCAATCAAATTGGTGAACACCCTTAACTTCAACAATTGCTGGGGAAGGAGGATGTAAAGAAAACCACGAATGCATGACCGGATACGTCTTCTTGTCGGTTATAACATGAAAGACGATTTTCATTGGCCTCAACGAGGACCTCACCGTAGATGAAACAACAACAGAAGCCGCGAGAACATTATCCGTCAACAAAACGAAATGATGCAACGAATTATCGGATAGTGATGGAAGCAACTCTGGCGGAGGCAATTGCTTTCGAGCTTGAGCATTAGACGAGTATTCATCCGCTAGGCGTAACGAAAGACAATGGATGCCTTTAGGGATAGCATCCGCTGCAAAATGCTTGTGCAACTGTTCTGCCAACTTTGCTCTTTTCGCCTCTCTATCCATACTTTCCATCTGCACACGATCAATTAATCACAAATTGTAACAATGTGTTTGAAGAAGCGGAACGAAAATGACAAAAATCCATTCGGTTAATTCAATTAGGAGCAGATTTACAAGGACTGATTAACTCAGCACTTACATAAGTTATAAAGATTTACATACATAACAATCAATTCCTATGTATTTACATGTTTACACTTAAAACTTAAATTTTTTATATACATGCAACTTTAATTTTAACAGCCCGGACTCTCACACATCGAGATATTGACCGCTTTGCCCTGATGGCCTCAAAATTATGTGTTGGTGTAACTTCCTAGGAGGTCACCCATCCTAGAAGTACACCCACACGAGCATGCTTAAATTTGGAGTTTATGTCAAAATTTCATCTTTACACCAAAAGAGCTTTGATATTTAAGAGTTCAATTTCATTCTATTTAATGGGTTTTACATTAATTATGAATGAAAATATGTATTTCACTTTTCAAGAGTTAAAATAGTGGTATTTTTTATGTATGTGATATAAAATAAAAGATTTGGGTGGTATAAATGCAAAAGGCAAAGTTTTGGTGTTAGATATGTGAATACAGAATTGGGTGGTGTGTATGCAAACGCCCCTTTAATTAGAAAAGGGGTCTGAAAACACAGATTTTAGCATCAACGCATCTGAAGAGCATAATATTATACAAAAACTAGAATAATATAAACATTCCACAATAAACAATGTTCATGAGAAATTAATTAAGGCTGTATAGACAAAGTAGTAAATAAACGAGACATTTGAAATGTATACAAATACAAGTACCGTTGCCTTCAGAAAAACAGCAAATGTCTTGATATCATACTGGTTTTTCTTTATTTCAAAAAGGAACTCATCGAATGATCCTGGCAATATTGCTTCTGAGGGAATCTCCTCAAAGTTAACGTGATTAAGTGCCTCATACAAATCTCTTATAAATCTCTGCACAGATTTATTCAGGCAATAGAAATTATTTATTAGTTGCTACCCCCTCAAGCAATGGTAGCCATTCATTGACCATAACTTCAAAGCATACATATATCTATATGAAGTAAAAAATAGATATTTACCACGGAATGATCCGTTCTCCTTCCAAGAAACTTTGGGCCAAGCCGTCTACCTAAACAATCTGACAAAAAAAAACAAAAATCATTGAAAACATAGAATTGTACAAGGTATAGTTATTCTTGTTAAATATAAAAGTGTACGGTAATTCGAGATATAAAGCATGATGATTTTATTCCAGAAATGAGTATCAAATCAACAAAACTGCTGAAGAATAGCATGAAAGCAGTTGAAGATTAGTAAAAAGTAAAGCAAAACCTTGATGAAAGCCATACACATGCCGGTAAAACTCCAAGATACCCCTCGACTAGAACATTCCCATCTCCCCAACGTTAGCCTTATCTATTTGGGTTCAGTCTTATGAATACTCATTTTCTATTCATTCCTGGTGAGTAATGTCTCGCGTGAAAGATATACTCTTGACAAATCATTTTGAAAATTTTCCATTTATTTTTCTTTCATAATCGTCTTACACTTATTTTATCAACTCATTTAACAAATGCATTCTACCCTTCTTTAAAATGCCCAATCCAAAGTCATCTTATATTCAAAAACTGTTTCTCCAATATTTTCACACTATAATCATTCCTTAATTTATGCTTAAGGGTTTTGCTACACATCCATTTTAGCAATCCCACTTATGTCGAATTAGATATCAATGGCTTTTTTGTGGAACAACATTTGAATCCATGCAACAATGTTAACCTATTTGTGGTTTTAAAAATTTATCTCTAAACTTCAATGATATGCTCTAATCACACAAAACTCTTAAGACACTTCATTTTACCGCCCAAACTTGACTCTAAAAATAATACAATCAATGATAACACAATATGAACCTGTGATATTGAAAACTCTTAGGTCATTCCAAAACTACTTTTAATATTAGGCAATGCAACAACATAACTAGCACGAATAATGTCTACATATCTTTGCCAATATTTCTACCTTTAAATATACCAAATGAATTATATTGTCTTCAATCATACATCTTCTAAAGATCGATAAAAATAATATGGAAATCCTATCTTTGTACTTTATAACCCTCATATAAATACCTTCAAATAAAAATTGATATTCCTTGCATGAAACCAGAATAGAAAATGACATTATCTATGTTTCGTTCGGCTTATAGCTTCATTGTATTACTCCACAAATTTATTCCTCCATAGCAAGCACAATCTCAAAAATCATCTCTATTCTTTAATATTATTATCAAAATGCTTCTTCTCTAACTATTTGGCATTCTCTTTAGTTTCAAAATTTTATTTAAAACATATTTAACCAAACCATTGTCATGTCCCTCATAACTTTCCAAATCACGATAGATAAGTCATTTGAAACTAAAGCTTTACTTTTATCCAACATTTCCAGAGCCCACTCCATTATATATTTTTTTATCAATCTATAATATACTTCTTTACGTTATTTATTAAGTTCTACCAAAATAATTTTTAATTTAAATATCTTATTTAGTAAATTCTCAAAGTTACTTTTGAATCTTCATAACTTCATCTTTAACCAAGATCATACTATTTTAAAATTTTTAATGCATTTAAATAAATCAAAAATCCCTAAATCTCTTATCCCATATGGACCTAAATTGTTTCCTTTATACATACATACATACATACATACATACATA